TGCCTCCTATCATGTGTGCTGCTGTATCCTTTTATATGGCTTCCAAGCCTGTGTGTTTCTCTACCATCTTAAATTCAAGCACTAAAATGATCTCCCTAAAATGTAACTCTGGCCCTGCTTATGTGGCTCGGCAGTTGAGAGCTGACCCAGGAACCAGGAGGTCACAATTCAATTCCCAGTCAGGGTACATGCGTGGGTTGCAGGCTCAATCCCCACTAGGGTTGAGTGCAGGAGGCAGCTGATCAGTAATTCTCTCTCATCATTGATGTTTCTATCTCTCTATCCCTCTCCTGTCCTCTTTCTCTAAAAATCAATAAAAATATTTTAAAACTGTAACTCTGATTGCACTATATTTTCAAAGAAACCTTCATACATTGCCTATTGCACAGGAATACTGTTGACATGCCTTCAGCAGGAATACAAGGCCCTCTGCATATTATGACTTCACCTCTCACAATCCCAGTTACAAATCAAGCTGGCAAAAACAAATTAGAAAGAATATAAAATATAGGATCTAGAATCTAGAATATAAAATCTGAGTCCAAATCTAGCTCAGTCTTGATTTTGGGTAACTTATCTAACCTTAATGAAGCTCAGTATACCCACCAATTTTTTTTTTTTTTAAGAATAGTAATAAAGGCTTTTGTGAAAAATAAATGAGGTCATGGTTCAAGTACACAGCACATAAGTACTCAATAAATGGTGGCTATTTTTACTATACTGAGGCACACTGACTGAGCAACTTCCCTATTCCTGAAACACTCCTGAGTTTTTTCTTATGCCTAACAGCCCTAGCAAGGTTATCAAATGCCCTTGCACAGGGAATAAGGAGAGGTACTAGCTGAGAATGAAGGGTGGGGTGAGGGACCATCCACTCATATTAAGCTGCCCATTGTTAGAAAGAAACAATGAATGGAGCTCTGAGAGAGACTGTGTGAAGTATGGATGAGAGAACAGGTCTAGAAATTCAGAATGACCAGGGAGGGTCCAACATTTTCAGCATCTGATTTTCTTCCCTGAACATCAGAACAGACCCAGGCCTACCTTTGCATAGCTGATGAGGATACATCTTTCATATCTTCATGTGGATGGATCATCTCTGTTTCTTTAATAGAAAGGTGTTCCAATGCCATGTCCAACACAGAGGAGATGTTGGGGGTGGGCAACTCACTATGTCTTGTATGGCTATCATCCCCAGTATGCATATGTGTTATTATAAGGGGCTCAAGGAAATAGTGTCAAGAGATCCACTTCATAAGTATGTTTATTATTCTCTCTGCTGCTCAAGCCACACAAAATAAATGTCTGGCATTTCCAGAAATTGCTATTGATTCAGCAGTAGATTTTACAAGGCCAATCAATAACAGTTTCCTCCATTCCCCTCCCCGCCCCCAGTGTATATTTATTTGTGACCAAGCTTTCTGTTCCTCCTGTGCTTTCTAGTGCTTGTAATTGGTCCAAAATAAATGGATGATTTCATCTTTTTCCAGGAAAACAAAAAGAGGAGATAAAAAAAACCCACTCGGCTATTAAAAGTATCTCCCTCCTCTAGCTAAAAATCAAGCTGAATTCATATATGTATATGTGTGTGAGGGAGATAGAGAGGAAGCCTGCATTCAAGCCTGCCTGCCAGAATGAGACCCACAGCACAGGAACCACAATGTGAGGCCTCTTTTCCCTATATTTATATTGTGCTTTGGTAGGAGATTAGGAATCCAGAAAGGCCATAGTTCCTTCTACTCAAGAGTTCTTCCATCATTATGCCTTTATGTCTCACTAGTGGCCCATTGCACAAAGATTCGTGCAATAAGCCTTCCTTCCCCTGGCTCCTGCCACTGGTTTTCCTCTGGCACCTGGGACCCAGGCCTTTGGTCTAGCCTCAGCAGCAAGGCTTGGCTTCTTCGCTCCCGCTGCTCCCAGCCCCTCCTTTTTTTTTTTCCAGCTCCTCCAGTGGAGCCCAGGGTGGAATAAAAGCCTGGGCTGCCCCTGGCGACCCAGGCCCCCAGCCACTCCTTGAGCGGAGTACAAGGCCTCGGGAAGCTTGGCTTCCTCCATCACCAGGAGCAACCCAAGCCTCCTGCTAGCTCCAGCTCAATGGCCACAGCCATCTTCAGTCATCCTCAGTCTTTGCTCCATGCCTGTGTATGCAAATTAACCACCATCTTTGTTGGGTTAATTTGCATAGTTGCTCTGATTGGCTGGTGGGTGTCGCTGAGTGGCAGAGTGATGGAGTGATGGCTAATTTGCATGTTTCTCTTTTATTAGTGTAGATAGCATTGCCAGATGTATAACAGAGGCTCAGAGCGCAGGCTAGAACAGGGGTGGGCAAACTTTTTGACTTGAGGGCCACAATGGGTTCTTAAACTGGACCGGAGGGCCAGAACAAAAGCATGGATGGAGTGTTTGTGTGAACTAATATAAATTCAAAGTAAACATCATTACATAAAAGGGTACGGTCTTTTTTTTTCAATAGTTTTATTCATTTCAAACAGGCTGGATCCGGCCCGCGGGCCATAGTTTGCCCACGGCTGGGCTAGAACTTCAAAGTTCACCAGCCCACCCACCTCTTCTTACAGATTAAAACACAAAGACTCAAAAAAAAAAAAAAGTGGATCTAAACTCAGGTCTCTTGCCTCAAAATGTGAATTTATAGGGTCTCTTCAGAGGTTATCAAGTTAAAATGAGAGTGGCCCTTAACAAAATATGACTGGTGTCCTTTTAGGAAAGGAGAAGTTTGGACACAGAAACACACACAAGCAAGCAGAAGTCCGTATGAGGATAAAGGCATAGATTAGGGAGATACTTCTTCAAGCCAAGGAATACCAAAGACTACCAACAAATCACCAGAATCTAGGAGAGAGGTATGCAACCAATTCTTCCCCTTAGCCCTCACAAGGACCACTTTAATCTTGGACTTCTAGCCTCCAGAACTGTGAGACAATACATTTCTGCTATTCAAGCTTCCCAGTTTGTGGCACTTTGTTACCACAGCCCTAGCAAACTACTATACTTCTCTTTAGGAGGCCCACTACTAAGGAATCCAGAGCTTAAAGTCAGAAAATTGTTAGAACTATATTAGAGGCTCAGAAACCGTATTTAATAAGCCTACTCCAAATGAATACAGTATCAAGAGAGAAAGTATGGAGCCCTAGTGAGTTTGGCTAAGTGAATAGAACATCAGCCTGCGGACTGAAGGGTGCAAAGTTCAATTCTGGTCAAGGGCACATGCCTGGGTTGCGGGCTTGATCCCATCCCTAGTAGGGGGCATGCATGAGGCAGCCGATCAATGATTCTCTCTCATCATTGCTGTTTCTATCTCTCTCCCCTCTCCCTTCCTCTCTGAAATCATTAAAAATATATTTTTTAAAAAAGAGGGAGAGAGGATATGGAGAATACATACCCCCAAGTTCTCGGACAAGACAAACCTTTTTTGCAATTGTGAAGAAACTACATGAAATCAAACTAAAACTAGATGAAATCAGTTATTTATGTGGTAAGGCAAAAGTCATGTATAGTTTGTTCTATAATGGAACAAAGTTCACATATTTTCAAGGTATGATATAAAAGTAAAGAAAGCCAGTGAACACCTTGGCCAAAGGTAATGCTATAAGTTCCCAAGACACATTTCACTTCTTTTCCTAAGGACACAGGAATACTGTATTCCCCACTCTCCTTTGCAGCTAAAATGGACCATGTGACTAGTTCTGACCAATAGACAATGCCCAGAAGTGACATATGTAGATGCCTAGAAGAGTGTATGTGAGTTGTTCATGCTTTCTTTTTCCTTGCCACAGAGACCCTATAAGTCATATATTGAGACTGAGGAGGTACATTAAAGTGGATGAATCTTTAAGTCCAGATTGAAAGGGAGCTGCCTTGGAGAACCATATGGCTCTCAGTGAAGCTTCTGTGAGACAGAAATATATGCTTTTGAGATTTGGGTAAATCATCTAATCTGACACTTGTCCTAACTCACTGATGATGGCCCTCACCTATGCAATTTGTATTTGATTAATATACTTTCAAAATAATAATAAGTCACTTGAAAAATATTAACTTGGAATTTCTCATGTTTTTTGTTGCCTGGTAGAGCAACCCACCCCAACTATGTCTATGGGATCCCCTCTAACAACCCAGACCTTGGGCCTCACAATAAAGGAAACACCTCTTCTACATTCTTATCTATTTCTCCAGTGGGAAGGGTGGACCTTAAAGGGGAAAAAGGCATTTTCTGCCTCAAAAAGCAACCTTTCTTGGTGCAACTCTGATGGTTAGAAATCTATTCCTTATTATATTTATAATCAGATTCTCTGTTACTTCACCCATTGACCTTAGTTCCACCCTCAAGAGTTCTGAAATAACAAAGCATACTGCTCTCCTCCAGGCTGATGTTTTAATCAAAGGAGATTTCTTTCCAAAAGCCTTATTAATCAAGCTATCACTAATGTCAAATCCCGGTAGAATGTAGGCCAGTGCATTGTTCTGATTATTTTGCTGTGTTTGGATTTTATCATATGAAAAAATATTTCAAATAAATGGAATTCCACCTGGGGCCCAAAATTCTTTCAGTTAGAGAAAGATTTGCATCATAGCAATATTTGTTTTATTAGGATTTAACCTGTCCATTGTTCTGCTGAGTGCCTGTGTAGGAATGTGGAAATAGCTTTCCATCACCATAAACTCAGAAAAAAATGCCAGTGAAATTCAGGCAAATAGATTATGATTGCATTGACAACTCTTTTCATAAGCTAATGGGCTGTCTAATCTATTCATGATTGCTGTCCCCCATAGGGTCTTGTAAGCACATTGCCAATGAGTTTGTTGAATTTGGTAAATTGATACACTGGGCTTGTTTTGACTTCCCATTTCTTGGAATAATCATTAGGTATTTAACAATATGTGAATGTGTTTAGTTAGGTAAATAAGTGATTCAGTTCCCCTTTTCTTTAACAATTGATTCCCTTCATGTTTTAAGTGGAAGTTTTTAAATGTGTACGTACATGTGAGGTATCTCAGTCCTGTGATTCATGTTTGATTATCAGGACTCCTATAGGAGAGATAACATACAATTTTACTTGAAGGACTAACGGAATCAAATCAACATGAGGGCTAAAAAAAACACATAAAAATGAAAATTTACTAGTAAACAAAATCTTTTTTTTAATTACACTTCAAATTAGAATATCTAGCATTAGCATGGCTTGGGGAAACTCTTTTATATTCTCCTGTGGGAGCATAAATTGAGACAATTTATCTGAAAGGCAATTTGGAAAATATAGCAAAAGCCTTTAAAATGTGCATACCCTTGGACCCAGCCCCAATAACTTCACTTCTACGAATTTATTCTAAGGAAATAATACTGGGTATGTGTAAAGATTTATTTACCAAAAAAAGAGCTTATTATGACAGTATTTATAATAGCCATAATTGGGGGAAAAACAAATAGCCAACAAAAATGGTACATTTTTTAAAACACATTCATTTATACCATGCTATATTACATAGGCCTTAACAATATGTTACAGAAAAATTTTGAATATGAAAAAATATTCACAATCTATTGTTAAGATTTTTTTAAAGCAAGTTTCACCTCAAATCAAATCTGTATTTTTAAGACACTAATTTTGCAAATACATATAAGGAAATATAGATTAGAGACATAACAAATTTAACATCTGTGAAAGCTGGGATTGTGGGTAGATTTTATTTCCTTCCTCATCTCTCCTGAATTTTTCTAAATGTTTAACAATGGGCATTATATATAAGGTGTACAAACACATTATAATGAAATTGAATCTTACATGTAAAATATTTTACTTTTCAAGATGCTGTTGTTACTAGGAAATCAGGCACATCTTTCCTACTGACTTAACTCAACAAAGCTAAGTGACACTTTCTTTGACGTTTCTAACTAGTTCAGCACCAATTATTCATCTTTTAAAGAAAGTTTGATAATCAATGGACAGTTCTCCAATTGCATTTGAAGTAAAGACATTTGTGGAATTTTTAAAGCTGGGAATGGAATATTAGTATCATCACTCAAGAGCATTAGGTGTGGAGCCAGAACACCTGAGATCAAGTTCTAACTGTGACTTTAGTTGATGACCTTGAGCAAGTCCCTTATCCCATTGGTGGAACTCTCAGACTGGGACTATATATATATGTATATATAGATTGATATTTTTAAAATAAAGGATATGAAAGGTCAATTTATTTTAAATACCTCCAAGACAGTCACACATTATTTATTGCATAGTGTTCGCCATCTGTTGCCTAAAATTTCCATAACTAACAACCAATCATGGTTGGAATAACACAAAAGAAGGAACTTATTTTCTTTTCTTTTTTGTTGTTGTTCATTTGATGTGTGTAAAATAAAACATACACTCATGCACAAAGTGCTTAAGTAGTAAACGTACAGATCAAATTATTGCAAAGTGAATTTCTGTGTCAGCCCCACCCAAGTGAAGAAATAGAACATGGCCAGCATCCCAGAAGGTCTGTATATTCCCCTTCCCAATCATACTTTCTGCCTCCTCCCCAGTCACCATTCTCTTGACATTATTATAATCTCCTTCATTTTCTATATAGTTTCACTACTTAAGCTTGCACCTCTAAACTATATAGTTTAGTGCATATTTCAACTTTATAAACATAATCATACAGAAAAAGTTGTCATGATAATGGATATAAAAAATTTTAAAGTATAATGTATACATCGATGAATGGCAATATTATTAGTAATCCTATTATGTGGGGACATAGGCATTGAATTCAACCCTTCAAAGCAGGTGGTTGTTCTCACAATTTTGGCATTGAATCATCTCCCATTAGGTCTAGACCTTCTCACCCTTCCAGATGGTCAGCACAAGCTCACAAGCTCACATTCAGGGCCCATAGGAGCACTGTTTTGTTACTTCTTTTGCCACCTGGATGGAAAAGTACTCACCTGAGGCTGAAGGGGTCTGTAAATACCTGCTTTGTTCATAAATTAGCAGGCATCCCTCCGTTGAATGAGTTCCCTGGCGATTATCAAGGCTCTAAGTTCACATCTGGTTAATCGTTGGCTAGAAATCAATACATAAAGAATGATGGTTTATGATAAGGGATTATAATAAGCAAGTTCAAATTCAAGAAATTGGCTGTCTCTTTGCTCTTAGATGCTGAAAAGAAGGTGCTGATCCCCAGTCCTTTTGAAAAAATGTAACTACACTCATATTGCTATCTAAATCAAGCACTAGCTATTATATATTTTTTATTATTCCCCTTTCCCTCATTGGCCAATTCATTGTGTCCTTAGGCTCAGTTGTTCAAATACCACCTAGAGTTTCTTTCAATCCCAAGGAAATGCATCAATTTATTCTCTGGTGTCACAAGACCTCAGGGTTACAGCTACCCTTTCCCCCAGTTCTGGAACAATTCCGACACTCTTTGATGTTTAGCTGCTGCCTTGTGAACTGATCCATGGGGCTCCCAGTGCCCGAGGCTCAGTATTACCATGGGTTTCCCAGCTGGCAGTTGGCCAGTGCTCACCATTCCTCCTGTGCAACCACCCATGCATGTGTACATGAGCACATGCATGTGTGAATGGGTGGGTATGTTCAAGCGTGTGTAGGCATACTATTTGCTCATTCCAGAAGTAGACAGCATTACTGTGGACTGTGGCAATAACAGTAAGAATGCCTTTCATGTTGTGGATGTTGGGTGACTAAGCAATGCTCCACCTGGCTTTCTACCCCAACATTCCTCTTCTTCTCACAACTGAGGCCACTTGAATTTCACCTTCAGGATCAATACTGTACCATTACTAAGACCACTTTAGGGCTTTGTCAGTTAAAATTTTAGAGACCTTAGTCCAAATTCTCAAAAGACTCAGAATTAACACACCTGGCCAATCCTCTCACAGTGATACTGAATCTACACTTGGATCACACTTGGATTTTCTTCCACAGATCCCGGTGTGCACTTCAATTATAGTATCTGGAGCACTTGCTACCCAACCCAGGTCTCTTACTAACTACTTCCACTCCCACTAGAGACTGATTTCCCCCCCCCCCCTCATGAATCCCAGTAACTAGGACCCTGATTCCTGACCTCTTATGATGCTCAGACCCTGAGGCATGTGGCCATGGTCACCACTGGCTGACTTTCTGCTGGAACCTCCACCTCTTCCTGATAACTCCTGATCCTGAACAATAGCCACTTCTCACCATACTCACCAGATGCCATGTCTATCTACTGGAACTCCTCACCCCACTGGCAGTCGGGTCTACGCCCAGCTCACCACGATGGGCATCTCTAATCTTCAGTTTTACTTTTCTCCTGATCTGCTCTGCCTAATGCCTAATGAAAGGCCCTTCCATTTTTAAATAAAAGATAACAAACATTTTAAAAGTATGACATTTTCAAAGGATGCAAATAAGCAAAAAGAAAACATCGTAATTCAATCATAAAAGTTTTATTACCATTTCAGTGCAAACAAAGATATATACCATGCTCATGTGTTGGAAGGCTCAATACAGTTACAGTGTCACTTCTTTATGAACTTATATATAGAAATAATTAAATTCCAGTCGAAATCCCATCAAGGATTTTTTTTTTTTTTTGGGGGGGGGGGTTGGTTGGTTTTTGTAGATATAAAGAAACTGATTCCAACGTTTATATGGAAAGGCAAAGAAATTAGAATAAACAAAACAAACTTTAAAAAGAAGAATAAAGTGAAGGATTTACTCTTCCTGATTTCCAGACCCACTGTAAAGTATTCAGTATGATACTGGCAAAAGGGTAGACACATAGAACATTGGAACAGAGAATATAAATAGACTCACACATCTCTGATCAATTGATTTTTCAAAAAATATGTTGAAACCATTGAACATCTATATGCACATATATGGACAACTTCAACCTAAATCACACACCTAATAGAAAACAATTTATTTAAAATGAACCACAGATCTATATATACAAAAGCCTAAGCAACCGAATGACCAAATGACTGGTAGCTATGACATGCACTGACCACCAGGGGGCAGATGCTCAATGGAGGAGCTGCCCCTTGGTGGTCAGTGAGCTCCCACAATCAACCTTCTGCGGCCGGCCAACCTCCCACGGTCCCTCCCCCAACCTGGTCAGCCCCATCACACTGATGGTGACTGGGTGAGACAGCCCCAGTCACTCCAATTGCCAGTCAGGCTGAGGGACCCCACCTGTGCACGAATTCGTGCACTAGGCCTCTAGTATAAATATAAAATACAAAACTATAAAACTTTTGGAAGGCAAATACTTTCATAACTTACATTTAGGCATAGATTTCTTAATCATGGTACTAAAAACATTATACATAAAAGAAAAAAATGGATTAGACATCATACAAATTTTAAAACCTTTCCTCTATAAATGATACTGTTAAGAAAATAAAAGATAAGGTATTAAGACTGGAAAAATATAGTTTCAAATCACATATCTGACAAAGGGCTTGTATCTAGAACATATAAGGAATTTTCAAAATTCAACCATAAGAAAACCCAATTTTTAAAAAGAGACAAGAGATTTGAATAGACACTTCATCATAGAGGCTATGATAAAAAAGAAAACTATGGATGTGAAAGTTTCAAAGAAGGAGGCAGAAAACTGTAGAATACTATATAAGTCCCTTAAAGTAAGGACTAAAAAGTGTTCACAGACCACTTAGTTAGAAATTCCTTCATGATTTTTAATGAAAGCAGTTTCATTTGATAAAGTTATTACTTGTTATTGAGCTAAAAAGAGAAGAACCCTTTCAAAAGCTTGAATGTTAGAAGAAAGATGGGGCATAGGGCCCTGAGGTAAGTTTGTTTGGTTCTCTGCTATTATAAAAGAAATTTGAGCATGTTTATGAAATAAAGAAAATAAATCAATAGTGAAAAATATGAAAGAAAGAGGAACTCTAACAACATATAACAAGGATTATACAACATGAACAAATGGGATTTATCTTAGGTGTGGAAATTTGGTCCAACATGAAAATCAATGCACCATATTAATAGACAAAAGAAAAAAGCAAATGATCATTTCAATATACACAAAAAAGCATTTGACAGAATCCAACAAAATATCATGATTAAAAAAACAACAACACACCAACAGTCAACAAGTTAGGAATAAAAGGAAACTTCCTTAACCTGGTATAGGACATCTATGGAAACCCACAGCCAGCATTATACTTAATGGTCAAAGACGGCAGCTTCCTTCTTAACATGAGGAATAAGATAAGAACATCCACTACCAACTCGTATTCAGTGTTGTCATATTAGAGATTTTAGCCAGATCAATCAGACAAGAAAAACAAACACGTTCAGACTAAAAAGAAGATGTAATATTACCTCTAGTCAGAGATGATATGGTCTTGTATATAGAAAACCCTAAGTAATCTACAAAAATACTATTATAACTAATACATTCAGCAAGATGCAGGGTATAAAATCAATACACAAAAATCAATTATGTATTTTATACACTAGTAATGAAAAATTTTAAAATGAAACAAAAAACAATTGCATTTACAATGCTATTAAAAGGTTGAAATACTTAGGCATAAATTTAACAAAAAAGTACAAGATTTGTTTTCTTATTAAAAACCTCAAAACATTGTTAAAAGAAAGTAAAGTAGATATAAATAAATGAAAAACATCCCATGTTCATAGATCAAAGGACTGAATTTTAAGATAATCCTCCCCAAACTGACCCACAAACCCCTGTCAATATTTCAGCTATGTATTTTACAGAAACTAGCAGTTCATCCCAATGTCCATATGGAAATGCAAAAGACCCAGAATAACCAAAACAATCTTGAAAAAGAACTAAATTGAAGGACTCACATGTCCCGATTTCAAAACTTACTATAAGGCTACAGTAATTAAGATAGTGTGTACTGACATCAACTAGACATATAGCTCAATGGAATAAAGTGGATAATCCAGAAATAATGAGAATGGGAATAAGGATAGATTGCTAATGAGTGTCAGGTTTATTTTGTGATGATGAAAATATTCTATAATTAGATAGTGGTGATTAATGTAAAACTGTATCAGTATATTAACAAATTTTATACTTTACAGGGAGAAGTTTGAAATATGTAAATTGTAGCTTAATAAAACTGTTATTAAAGGGGTAGGGAGGGACCAATTGATGGAAAGAAGGCCTGTAGGACATAAAAAAGAGTAAACCTCGTGTCACTGGAAGATCTAACTTTGAATGGCCCTAAGACAGAGAGAAAACAGAAAGGGTGGGTATGAAGGTAGGTTTGCAGATGTTGGATGAAGGAGGGGTATAGAGAAAAAATTGAGTTGACTCGATATTTTTAGAAACTAGAAGTGATATTGCCTGCTGGAAGCAAGGACTTGGGAACTTGGTAGGAAACTTGAAGAAAGGTAATTAATAAAATTAGGTGAAGCTTCTGAAGAAAATGGAGAGAGGAAGCTGCCTAAGAATAAACAGGAGAAGAAAGATGGTATTTGCTAAGACATCTTGGCATGGCATCTGACCCTCAGTCAGTCACAGCTTGATCTGGCTTCCCTTCAGCACTCTGTAATCTTCATAAGGGCCTGAGAAAATAGCAATCAGTAAATTGTTCATGCAGGCATGTCTGTAGGGTACCACAGTGGTACACATGATCCGTTTTTCAACATCACTGGCCAAAGTGCAACAAGGTCAAGTACTGCAAATATTTGTGATTAGGAGGATTCTTTCCTCCAAAACATGCCATGAGATAGTTCTGCAAAATATAAATATTGGATCAGGGTGATTTCGTGGCAACTGAAAATTCAAACACAGGCAATGCAGTCCAGTGTCCTCTGTGGTCCCAGCAATGGGGAAATCATGTCCCATCTGACAACATGTAAGAGACCTCCCATACCTGAGGCTGGGTGGGCGGGTGAAGCAAATTCCACCCTAGGGCCCCTTCTAGCTTACTGCTGGATAAACAGAAAGCTTGGCTTTAGCTACCTCTACTACCCAGACTACTCCCCCTGGGAACCAGC